TGTAGTTTTCTTTTCAACACTGTGTCATCTGCATATCTTATGTTATTAAGATTATTGCCGCCAATAATGAATCCAATATAACTTCTAATCTAATTCTCTCAGAATCACCTCGCTATATATATATATATTTTAGCATTTCACCCTACGCAAGAGGTTACAGAGGGTAAGAGTAAAGTGAGGTGTTTGAACAAAGGATAAAAAGAAGGACAGGGACCAAGATCAAAGCATCAGAAGATGTCGATTGACATTACATTTGAATATTTGAAGATTATAGCTATTAGGGAAACAAGTAAGAGGAAGGGAGTTCCACTGTTGAGGAGTACGAGAGAAGAAGCTGTTGAAGTAGAAGAGACGGCTACATTTAACCGTTTCGACAATGAAAGGGTGGGACCTAGATGCCAACCTAGTAGCACGCTTAAATTCATGCAGTCGGGCCACCAGGGAAAATAGCTTGTCAGAGCAGTTGCAATAAAAAATATTTGTAAAAAAGACAGAGAGAATCCCCGTCAGGTCTGTGAAAAGGTGATTGGAATCGAGATGCCAAGTTAGGACCTATCATATTGCATATCCATCTTTAGATTTTGTCGAGAATCTGGAGATGAACAGCGGGATCACCAGACAGTATATGGCAACAGTATTCTGTGCAAGGACAAATGGTAGATTTGTAGATTTGATGGATGGACTCAAACGAGAAAAACCTTCAGGCGCGACACAGAGAACCAACTTTCCTTGCGGTAGAGCCAGCTATTGATTCAACGTAGTTGTTCTACCTCATGTCAGGGGAAAACATGAGACCAAAGAGGCGCGGAGAGACGCTCTCGTGGAGTTGAGATGCAAAATACTCTTGCATAGGAGGCAGGGAAGTTTCTCTATGGTGGGTAAATGAAAGTAGTTTTCTTTTTGGATGCATTTAAATTTACAAGCCATTTAAAAATCGTTAATGAAAATCAGAAACCGTGTAGGATGCAGTATAGGGCCTGAGAGAACACCAGCGTTAGTATGAAAGGAACTGGGGAAAAGTCAGTTCAAGACAATCTTCATTTCACGCTTTGACAGGAATAATTTGATTAAATCAAATATCCGTCGTGTAATGCCGTACTCCTGAACCTTACGAAGAAGGCCGGCATACCAAGCCCTATCAAACGCCTTAGAGATATCTAGAGCCACAGCTCAAGCTTCGCCGTTATTATCAAGAGCTTGGTATGCAAAATTAGTTATGGCCGTAAGCATGTCAGCGATAGACCGGGCAAAGTTCGAACAAGTGAAAAGACGCATCCTTGTCTTACACCATTTATATTTTTTATATCTCCTTTTCTATCCATAAGGTTCTTGATTATGCTAAGGTTACTAATCAGTTCCAAAAGATGTTTGTAGCGTACTTTATCAAACGCCTTTGCGTAATCTATAAAGCACAGGTAGATGCCATTGTGCATTTCTATTGCTCTTTCTGGTAACATTCCGAGTATAAATATCGCATTCTTTGTTTCAGTCTCTTTGTCAAACCCACACTGTTCTTGTCCTATTTCCGGTCTCTTTCTGCTGCCCACTCTATTCATCGAAAATCGGATGATATGTTTTGTTATCTTGTTCATTAGGCGGATTGTTCGATGGAGTTCACATTCGTTTGCACTTCGCTTCTTAATCAGTGCAATGAAAATAGATCTACTTAGGCTTTTCAGTATTTCATTTATTATTTCTGTAATCTAGTCTATGCTGAAATCATCTAAAGTTGGCAGCATCTCTATTACAATTCCATCTGGCCCTGCCTCTTTGTTTCTATTCAATTTAGCCAGTGCAGATTTCACTTCAGATGTTAATATCTCTAGTCCTTCAATATTTTTGCGTATTACCGGTTGTTCTCTTTCGTCGTACAAGTGTTCTCCGATATATTCGTTCTATCGCTGAAGTATTTTTTCACTCTCTAATATCAACGTTTCCTCCCTGGATTGTATGCAGCCTGTTGATGAGTATGTCTTTTGTCCAGTTAGTCCTCTTATATTTTATGCATATCTGCTTTAGCTGTGATTCTTTCTGTTTCTGCACATTTTCATTGAGCCATTCCATTTAGTCTGTCTGCATTTGTTCCTTATTTTTTTCTGTAGTGTCCTATATTCTGTTCCGTGTCTTGACATTGTTTTTGTCTACTTTTCATCATGTCGAGAATTTCATCTGTTATTCATTCCGTTTTCTTTTCTTCATCTATTTTCCTTTGGGATGATCTCGTATGCTGACGTCACTAAAGCCTCTCTTAATGTGTCCCACTTCGAGTTTCCATTTTTAATTTTGTTCCTCGTATCTGCTTCTTACACCGTCCATATATTTTTCCTTCAGATTCGGGTCGTTCAAGAGTCTATTGTATTAAAATTTGGGTGCTGCATTGGGCCTTTCCAATTTCCGTAGCTTCACTCTAAGCTTTCATATCACTAGAAGGTGGTCGCTTCCACAGTTGGGTATGTTTTACAATGTAAAACTGTATTCCTGGAGCTTTTCTTGGTGGTTATATAGTCGGTCTAGTTTTTCTTTCCTACTTTGGCATCCATGTCACCAATGACAAC